TATATTAAATATCTCTATTAAAATACATATATTTAAGAAATTTATACCTAAGCAACACATGAAATGACAAAATAAATTTTCAGAATTCTGCTATGTATTTTGCATATTGGGCCACAGAGTGGCAGTTTTTTCCTACAGACATTACCTTTACCATAAACCATCCAGCAGGACAGTACTTAACGTAAGGACTGCCAGACTGCACTGCAAGATTTTGAAGTAGTTTTCTGTCTAATTGCTTTTGAGCTTTATCTTCTTCCCTCCACGTCCCCCACCACCTACCAAGATTTTTTTCAAAATAGGGGAAAGCATAGTATTTTGGCAGGGAATGGGGAACGGCTCTTGAACCTTCTTATCAAACATTTTCTGATGCTTATTAAGAAATCGTTACTTTACCGTTCTGCTATAGCATCAAAACAATCTTGTTGAACAATTTTCCACATCACACAAAACAGTAGTATTTATGTATTTCTGCATCCCTGTTTAGAAGTTTATGCCACTCGTACAGAATTAACATTAGAAGCCTTTTGGTCAATGCTTTAACATTACCTTTACAATCTTTACTTGCAATCAGTAATTTTTAACAGACTGAGAAATAAGACAGATTTGTGAGGGATGTGTTCCATATACAGAAAAGAAAGTATCACCTTAAACATAAATTAGAGAAATACCAGGTTACTGCCTCACACAAACAGGAAACCCACGCATCACAACAGAGCTAGAGAACGGGAAATTGGCTTATATGGTTCTCATACTGTGGACCATGAAGATGAAAGACTATAGCATTGTCAAGGCTGCTCACATTAAAGGCTTACAATTGAACAAGGATTGGCAACAAAAACTCTTCCACTTAAAAGCTGACACTCCTCACAGAGAAAAAACACAAACTACAGGAACCCCACAGCTACATTAAAGTAACAGAATTTTTCATTTGTGAAAAGAGTAACATTGTCACGTGGAGGAGTTGTAGCAAATGAAGAGCTAGTGACTAGGTACCAACCTGCTCAGGTTCCACACATGTGTTTTTCTCCAGGCTCTCATTTAATGAGTGTTCTGATAAACTGATTAAGTACTCTTTCACTTCTTTTTTGTCTGGGAAAAGAATATTTCCAGGACTAGAAATTCCACTGTCCTCCTGTCCATCGTTGCTGGAAAGCACATTTGCTCCATCCGATTCTAAAGGAACAAGCATATGTTCTTCCACAAGTGGTTTCTGACAGTCTTCATGCTGGCTGCCTCTTACACTTTGCCCTTCTAGGGCCTCCAATGTGGGACAGAAAGCATGGTTTTCTGGTTGGTTATCAGACAGTGCTACACCCAGTGGGCAACAGTGATTATCTGAAATAATTACATGATCTTCCTTGTCCATCATGGTAATGAGGAGTTGACTGCAATGATTGCACCTCTCCGGGATAGGCTTCATTTCCTGCACAGGGAGACATTGTACCAGAGCCAGGCTGTGGTACGCTCCACAAGCAATCTGGAGCACAACACGTCCTGCCAGGTGCTCTACCTTCTGTGGCTTTGTCACTGGGAAAGCTGTTGTTATGAGACCCAGCTGGCAGCCACTCCCCCAAGCCCATATCTCTCTGCTCAGTGATAGTGCCAGCGTGTGCTCCTCTCCACATGCTAGCTGCAAAATCCTTACTGACAACAGAGGACTGGTTTCCGAATCAGAAATACTGATGGGCTGTGGCTCTGGCACACATGGCTGATCAGCAACTGCACACTGGCCAGCAGAATTGTTCCCCCACATGTACACCACACCACTTTCTGTCACGGCTCCATTATGGAAGCTGCCAGCTGCCACTGTAATAACACGATGCCCAAGCAATGTTTTTTCTAAGATAGGACTATTAGCACATGACTCCTCTGGTCCTGATCTCCAGGGAAGTTTTCCAAAACTGTAGACCTCTCCACCTGTGAGAAAAAAACAAAACAAAAAAAACCCCACAACAACTAAGCATGAGTCTAATTAAGTTAAATCCATATAAAAATTTGAAGAGAGATTCAGATAAAAAGATACAATTTCTTAGCTTACTCCAGGCTCAGCAAAACTGTGGCTATTGATATACTAAGACTGCTGGCTGCTCTCTGCTATTGCTGCTAAGCTCTATATCTCATGTTAATGTTACGCTGTGCATGCATGCACTGTTAAAATAAGTAATGCTTCGCTGCTAAAAATTCTACTACTATACTATAATACTTAAGTGTATTTATTGGTCCTTTCTATTTTAATGACATACAACCATGCCGACAAAGTACAGAGCTTGTCTTTGTTCCATACAGAGATCTAGCATCTCCAAACTGTACTGTTTGCCACCCTACGGTAAAATAGAATTGCCTTATCAGGTGGAAAGGTGGGGATGGTGGGTAAATGTACCTTGCCACTGCTTTAATGTTGCACTGCAGCCTCTCCAAAATTTCATTACTTTTACCTGAAAAGATTGCAGCAATGCCAGCTCAAGTTACTTTGCTAATTCTAAAGAAAAGCAGAAATCTATTTTTAAAATGAACAGTTGTTTCCACAAGGATAGAAAAATAGTGGAAAAAAATTTAGAGAAAAATCAAAGCAGCAACTTCCAGTTCAGTCTTTACAACAGTATGCCCACTGATCAATACAAGCAAGGACCAAGCTATGCAAACACTTAAAGGGACTGGCTTGTACAAATACTTTGCTTCACAGTGCCAAACTAACTAATGCATCTATTGGCTACACGTTCTTGCCAGAAGCACACAGAATCCAAAACTCTTACACATCAAGAGAATCTCTTGCTGTACTGTCTTTTTTGAATGAAAGACATCGTAAGAAATGTCATTTTGAGTTAATGCAGATCAGATTACATTACAATCTTTAAACAGGAAATCCAGAGCCATTGTTAAAAGAAGAGTAAGAAGGAAGACAACTATGGCTGTAATTTCTATTCCAACACAGTTTTAAGGAATTTCTAACTAAGAAAGAAATACTGGCAAAGTTAAAAATCTGTTTAAAAGTTGTGTATGAGCCACAGATAGAATTAATAAAAAATATAAAAGAAGAAAACTTGACAATAACTGAAGTTTGTTGTTACCTCGTATCTTCACAATTGAGATGTTTATTACCTTCTGTTAGAAGTAACCCATGATGTGTTCCAAGGGCTGCCTGTAATACAGTCTTTCCACTAAGGCCTGGAAGCCTTTCTGGAGTAACAGAGCAGGAACCAGCCTTCCAGACATAGACCAGGCCTCTCTCTTTGGCTCCTTCTGCCTCTTCCGAGCTACAATAAGATTGGAGGAAGTACAGAATCAGCTTGAAGTTTTCTGCAGTTCAGTAATGCATAGTTTGCTTTTCACATACGTAGGAAAGGCTTAGTAGTTCAGGCATCAGTTTTAATTTCAGGAAGTCAACATTTCATTTACAATTCGGTAATCTTACTTGTTTTTCTTTTAAATAACATTTAAATTATCTTCTATTTGAAATAATTTCTTTTTCATTTATACTTTACTGCCTGAAAAGCAGCTGATCTTGTCACTAGTGAACTTAAAGACCCATCTACGCCCAACTGATATAGCCTTTATATTATATATTGTATTTGGTGCTCACAGCAAGATCAAATTAATACACAATTCTGCCATTGTAGGCTGAGGGAGATCATTGTATCAGTTCTATCCACATGTAAGCAACTCTGTTCCTATCTGAACAGTGATATTTATAATGTTAACTCTTCATGTTAACATTTTGGTTTACTAGGGTGTTAACATTCCTGGTTTACTAGGGTTTATTTATATTTTGTATTATTCAGTTTTTAGAAATCAAAATGCAGAAAAACAAGCCTTATAATCACATTTTTATCAGTTACACAAACATCAAGGATGCTGGAAATACACGTAAACATCTCAAATAACATTTGCTTTAAAAGTCATTAAGCAAAATATGTATTTTGTGCAGATTTTACTGTGAACCAACTGCTCCCATTCGCAATGTCTTCAAAGCATTACACCTGTAAGAGTTCATCCTTTAGATACTTTCATTTCGGCTTTTAGAGAGAAAGATGAGGTTTTGGTTGGTTTTTTTTTTTTCTTTCCCCTCTTAATTCTTAATAAGTTTCTCAGATTCAATTGAGCCAGTCATTCAAATCCAATGAATGAACCAAGAAAAAAAAAATTATCCTGAAACACAATGGAAGTATCTAGGTTTACAGGAGTGAGTGGAACTATCCAGAACTGGTTTAACACTTCCACACACTCTGGTTTGAATGCTGAGCCAGGAACTTCTTCCATTCAGCAGAAAGAAATTCCTCAGAACTTGACAACAAGCACACAGTTTTAACAATTTGTGAAATCACTTGACTTAAACACAAACAGCCATTTTAACCATCAGTACAGACTGACAGAATTTCAAGTTAAATCAAAAGCTTTCTTTAAATTCAGTTAAAACTTTATATAGAATAGATTGTTATCTACCCTTCAAAAAAAAGTAGGTTTAGCTCCTTATTTGCCAACAGTCAAGTCATTTACTCTGCACATAAATCAGTTCTTGCAGCTTTGCATGAATTTGTGAAGTTAAATATACAAGGTAGTGAGAAGAGCTTTGACAAAATAGCAATCTTTGTCTAGAAGAAAGGACACAAAACCCCAAATGTATTCCAATACTGAAGCAAAACCAGAAAAAGCTAGTCTGACAGGCCACACTGCGGAAAACTTATTCAAGTAGCGCATTCAAATGCTGTAAGGCCCTATTCAGGCAGACCACTGATTTTTTTAAACTAAAAATTTTGCTAGTTGTGGTGCATAGGATGAACAATACCTTTGCACAATCTGCCTCTGAAACATTCACAATGAGAATAACTAAGAGATATAATTATGTCTCTCTTAGCTCCTGTGCCCATCCCCAATCTCTCTTCTTTTTCCACGTAATAGAAAAAAAAAAGAAAAAAGAAATCAACAAAAAGGTGACAGTCAAGAACTCCTCTAAAATTCACATAAGTAATTTAATCCAAACAACATACACAGCAGTATAACGCAGAGTCCATCTTGCATTTTAAATACATAGGACTTGTGTTTAGAATAGAAGTAGATTAAAAAGGAACCAACCAAGGCCAGAAAAAAAGTTAGACAAATCCAACATCATAGTTAGGACATTTAGCTAAAAGAAAAATACAGATTTCACTCAGATGGGCAAAGCACACCAAAGAAGACAATACGATGATATAAAGAGTTTTCATCAACATACAGTACATTAAATTCAGCCCAAAGCCTGATATTTGGGCTTTTATCCATTTACTAAGTCTTCAGAGAACAGTGTGAGACAAACTTGGACAACTGTACACCAGGTTTATTACAAGACACTAATTTTCCAACCCCAAAATATATGACATCTGACAGGTATCTTAGTGGAAGAAACAAGAAGCAAATGCACAGTTTACTGCAGGGCTATTGGTCCAGAATCAAAATTCACAGATGCAGGTAACAGATGATTTTCGGTTCACCAGAGAACATTACTTTCAAGTCTCCAGCCTATGGCTATCCCTCCAGAAGCTCAGGTAATCAACTTTTTTTTTAAAGTTGCTCTAGTAATAAGTTGAGTGTTCCAGACATAACTGAAATGAAAGCTAATTTATTCCTCTTCTTCCCTTTAGTGTAAATTACATAAAGAGTATGCTGACACCACTTAATTTTACAGGATGATCGTAAACTGGCATATTTCAGGGAGCCTCTGTGGCTTCACCTAGCTGTTCATTCTCACCTTCTTTCCTGTGAGTCCATCTGTCAGTGGCAGCACTCCATCACCACCAAATCATTCCTCTTTTAAAAGGAACAATATAATTTCCACAAACTGTAAAACATAAAAAAGTTATTTAATTGCAAATAATGTTAAGCTTAAAAAAAAACCCATCAAAGCAAGAAATAAAGCTTTAGATCCCATGTTAAATAAAGGAGCACTTCCACAAGACTAGGATGGTTGAAGTATTTAGTTCACTCACACTGAGTTGGCAGACAAAAGCTGAACAGCTTCTCATCTCACAATAGGTCTATTGTAAGGACAGACTGAATAAAACCTAGTTCAAAGGCAAAAATTAACATCAATCTCTCTCTCTCTAATTCTCAGTATACCACTCAAGAAACATCAAAATAGGATAACTGATCCCTTTTTAGTCTAATATAAGATAAAATTCTATGGTCAAGCTAAATTTATAAGGTAAACAAATTTGTATAAGCAGAAAATGGTGAAGAGTTGAGTTTGTAACTGTACTCCTGAGCCAAAGCACATACTACCATTAAAAGGCAGAGTTCTATTAAAGCCTGGGCAGAAACGCAGAAAGACAATTAAGAGTCACAAAACATTTCTTTATGCAAACCAGTAGCAGAGTATCTATGAAAACATAAGACCATAGAGGCCAAGGAGAAAAAAAAGTTACTACTCCATTTATGTTTATATCCTTTCAGATTTTGAATTTTGCAAGCTCACCCTCACACCTTTCCATCTTCATGCAGATACCTTTGTATTACCTTTCTTGTAATAAAGCTACAGTTAATCTTTGTTTCTTATAATCTAGTTTTTTAATATTGAAAAACTTTAATTTTCATTGATCTACCGCCTTACTAGATGAAGTGCTAACAATTTTAGTTGCATTAATGCATACCTGTAACCATATTTATTAAAATAAAGTAGGTTTCATACATAAATTCTTTAGATCCGTTTGCAATTATAGTTACTAACTGATATCAACTGTAAAAAAAAAAAACAGAAAAATTATTTAATATAATGGTCTGTTAGGACAATGTATCTCCAAGAAAAGATCCAGAAGCGTCTGAAGCTCTTACATATAGAAAACAGAAATAAAATACAGCCAGTCTTGATTACAAGAGACAACATACGCAAACCTGTAAATTGCATACAGAAGTCTCAATTCACACTTGAAAACAGTAATCATCACATTGATAAATAATTGACATAACTACCAGAAATCCCAGCACTTTCACTAGACTGCTCTGAATAACGAAGAACCAAGCAGACCTTTATACACAGAAACAACAACGCATCATACCAAATGTTTTCAGATTTCCAAATACAGGACACTAAAAATAGTGATTTGGGCTTCAGGGTTGCCAAAGAACATATCACAAAAAGATAAAGAGCCATGAAAATATGAAGCCTAATTAATATGATAGAATAGTATTGTGCACCTTGTTCTAAAAAAAAAAAAAAAAATCAGAGCATACTTTCTAAGAACAGATACCTACTAAGCCACACTTGTCACCAGGAATACTGCTTTCAAGACACTTCTGTCTCTCCTTCCTCAACTAAAAAGAATTTTTAAAAAAGAAAAAAAACACCCACAACTATAAAAGTTAACTTTTAAAATATTAACAGAGGAAGTCTCACAGTGAAACAAAGGAAAATGGAAGCATATTTTTGGAACTTTAACTTTGTGATGGGTTCCTGCTCAGAGTGAGTACATTTGGGTTTGTTTTGTGTTTTTTTTTTTTAGCTTACTCAAAACACCCAGCCCTACAATTGATTTTCTTGAAAATGCTGGCACTTCTCTGTGAACAACTATAGCTTCACATATAAATGACTTCACATATAAATTCACTGACCCAATGGATCAGTGAATCACATGAACTGATCGGAGCTTTGATTGAGTCATCAACTATTGTAGCATTTACATTGTATATACCGATTCAAGATCAAGGAAGTGAGGCTTAAAATTCTTGTCTTCTATATTTTAGGGATTTTTTTTATTATTATGTTTTTTAAGGCCTCATAGACTTTGTTTCATTTTCAAGAGCTTCAACTGCACAAAGATTTACTGTAATTCTCATGAAAACTTCTGATTGTAACAAAACAAAGTTAAAGCCAGGCAACTGATTAGCTGTTTTACAAGATCTCCCTTCAAGGCTCAATTAAAAATTATTAGTGTAATTATTAAGTAAGAAACTTGGACTAGAAATTGAAAGAGTGATATGATGGTGGTGATAGATTTTGTTTTCTTTACAAAATAGCACTTAAGGTTGCACTGCTAAGCATTTATGCATATTAGGGGAAATGACAGTCAAGCTGGTTTATTTCCATAACTGAGACATCTTTAAGACATTTTAAAATAATTTTCAAGTTCAGTGCAAGTTTTCAGTCACTCCTAGGAAAGCACAATATTATGCCCATTTCACAGCTAATGCAGAATACAAGTCATTTGGTCACAGCTACAAACTAAGTAGTACTTATACAATTTTCCTTGCTGATTTTCACCTAATTTCACATTTACATAACATTATGTTGCAGCATTACATATACATTATTTCTTTTCCACTACGATGACCTGAATTGTTATTAATGTTCACAGAAGTGAACAGCCAGGTACAATACATCATATTCTCATGGTATGGAAGATCAGTATGACATCAGCACCTGCACTACTCTGCGCATACCTTTACTTTCTCCATCTTTGCTTCAACACCACAACAGGAAAAAAACAAAGTGTCCAAACAGTGCCAAATTATGAAATGGATTTGTGCTACAGACAGATGGTCACTAGCATGACACTGATGTCATACCTCCCACTTACAGAGCAGAATGCTAACTCAAAATTCTCCAGAAATCAAACACTACGACACCATAATAACAGGCATGGCAGGGAACAACCTGGAGTAAACATTACTATTATTACTGTGGGACTGCGTCCTTCACTGGACATTGGTCAATTAGTAATAAGCATCGTAGCTGTAAAAGAAATCTTACATTCAATGCTGAACAGGAACAACTGGTATGCCCCTGACTTTCAGAAATACTAGAACTCCCATCAGCCTCATGTGCTTATTTACCGCCAGAGTTAGCAAATACTACAAATACTTCCAGACAAGTTTACTTATACATTTACAAATGCATTTTTAATAAATTTGTTGCACTATACTTAGCAATAATTTGCACTACCAAAACTGCAAGTTTACTATACAAAACTATCAGGTTCTGAAGGAGGTTACCTCCATGCTTCCTAATTCAAAACTGAATTGTCAACATTAGTCTTGTTTACATATATGTCATCATTTATTATCGCTAGCTGTTGTTCACATACACTGCATTACCAGCTCAAGAAGCCCTTGTGTTTTGGTCAGCACTGACCAGCTACAACCACTGTTTTTAACATTGTGTCATAAAGATCTGCTCAGAGCAAAACAAAACAACTTGCTACTAAAAGACAGTGGCAATTCCTTCAGAAGAGGGTTCAAAGCTTTTAATGCCAGTTAACGAGTGATGGTAGCAAACAAGATACAATAAAGGAGTCGGGGGGGGGAAAAAAAAAAGCCAAACAAACAAAACCACAAACCACAACCAGGGAACAGCCTAGTATCAGCTCAAAGAACACAGCTGAAAACTATCTGCTATAGCACCTAATTAATAATTTAAAATTTAACAAACTGATAAGAAACTGAATATCCCTCCCTCTTCTTTGCTGAAATTACACATTCTTAATTTAGCACATGTTCAGCTGCTTCCCCTTCCAAAAACAGTTAACTCCACAAAAACTGAAAGATGGCAAGTATATCTCTTTTTTATAAGTCACTACACTACAACAGCAGTGGCAAAGTCTTGACAGCAGAGATCAACTACCAATCATCTACTGCTACTCTAGTTGCTTCCCTGTGTTTCACCAAAATATTTTGGTGCTGGGAAAGGGGGTCTGTGGGAGCGATGGCATGCTATGTCACCTGTCAACGATACTGCAGCCACGCTAGGACTGTCACTGAGAAGACTCCAAAAGTTGAAACAGCATTTAGTCCTGAGTAAGCAAGTCATGCAAAAAGGAAGGACTTTGAATTGGAAGGGGACAAAGGGCATACCCTATTTAAAGTTTAGATGGTCTCTTCCCATCAGAAGGGAGGAGTCCTTTAGGAAGCTACAGAAAGAAATCTCAACATCTCTGCCCAAGAAAGCAAGAAGAGTTGGACAGACGGCACCTTCTCCGTCAGAGCTGTGCTTTAGCCTCTCCCGCAGCTTCTCAAGCCCAGCCCATGGGCGAGAAGGGGCCTGTTCCCGGTCACCAGAGCAGCACAGCACACCAGGGGCGGCAGCGCAGGGAGCGCGGCGGGCCGGCCCAGGGCGCTTGGGCCAGCCAGGTTCCCTCCAGGAGAGGGGAGCCATCTCCCCCGCTGCTCCTCAGAAACCCCCAAACTCCCCCCACCTGCTGTCCTGC